GCGTGCTGCAAACGGAGCCGCGCGGCGGAGGCTGTGCCTCTGCCATCCATTGCTGGATGGAAGACATTTTGCTGAGCACAAGCCTTGTGGTTTTAAACACTGATGTTTGTTTGACAGTTTCTGCTTTTCTGCCAGGACGGCCCAGAGGAGCTCAGTGGAACAGCAAAAATTGCATCCTGATGCAGTGTAGAACAGGTTGCCCAAGGAGACTGTGGATGCCCCATCCCTGCAGGCATCCAAGGCCAGGCTGGATGTGGCTCTGGGCAGCCTGGGCTGCTGGTTGGCGACCTGCACACAGCAGGGGTTGGAGCTGGATGAGCATCGTGCTCCTTTGCAACCCAGGCCATTCTATGGTTCTGTGACTCTAATAGTTACAGACCATTAATTGTCAAGCATTTCCAGTTGCTCAACAAAGAAACAGCATAAAATTACTGTTTTACCCATATGTGTAACGATGCTTCTGACTGCTGTTCCATCCAGCAGCTGCTGATGTGCACAAACAGTGAGGATGGACTTCATGCCTGCACCTGCTGACCCAGCAGGAGTGCACTGTGCCATGGGGCACAGCTCAGGCACTGGGACACACCTGGGGAACGTGCAGCAGCACGGGCACTGCTGTTTGTGCAAATCCCAACTGCTGCTACCCGGATGTTGGAATGTGACACAAGAGGAAAGCACCCCAGGACATCGGTAGCGGTCAGCGAGGAAATGGCACTCTGTCTTTCCTGGCTCCCGGCAGCACTGCATGCTGAAAGTCCTCATGGCAGCTGAGCCACAAAGAGCTGAAGTGTTTTGTGCCTATGCACCTTTATCAATAGCAATTTTAGCTGTCCTAGGATGAGGAGGAGCGGCCCCCGTGCCGACCATGCAGGGATCTCCTCATCCCTCCCAGAAGGAAAAGCTGCGCCTGAACCCCGATGGAGCCACGTGAGTGACTGCACAAAGGCTGCTGGTCAGCTTCAGCCGAAAGCAGAGCGTGAGCACAAAGAGAGAGGATTCAGTAACGCCTGTTTTAACCTCATGCTTTTTCACAGCCTTTCTTCTCACCACCCCAGGAGCACAGGACACAGAGCAGCCCAGGTTGCTGCTGCGGGCTCCGTGCAAACACTTCACAGGGCTCTCATGATTCCACCCGGGATGAAGCGCACAAGGAGGGCAGCAGAAGGCCCGGCTCTGCATCCAGCACCTGCTCTGGAATGATGTGACACCCCTCCTTCACCTGGCCGTGCTCAGCGCAGCGCTGGTTTGGAGAAGACCTCCGAGATCCACAGGCCCACCTGCAGCCCACCTCCCCACACCCACAGCTCTGAACACCCCCAGGATGGCAACTCCCCCCCCCCTTACAGCTGTGCCAGCACTGACTGCTCTTTGGAGAAGCTGCTCCTGTCATCCAACCCCACCCTCCCTGGCACAACGTTGCCATTCCCCACGGATGCAGTGCCAGGGATGCCCCGTGGCAGTGGGGCTGTTTTCCAGGAGCTGCAGCCCCCCCTCAGCAGCACACAGCTCCAAAGGACGCGTCGGCATCACAGCAGCGCCGACACGCGACAGCCGCTCGCTGTTTGAAGCTCAGCCGCAACGCAGGAGCGACAATGGTGGCTTTGTGTGCTGCTGGGGATGCCTTTCTCCCCAGGGCTGTTGGTGTGGGCAGCGGCGGTCTCCAAGGCCACAGCCACGTTTGCTTTGTGAGCAGCTGCCACGTTGAGGACAAAGCCCCCCTCGGGCTGTCCCCATCCCACGCTGCAGTCGCACCAGGGCTGCTGGTGCTGCAGCTGGGGCTGGCACGTGAGCAGCCCCACAGCCAACTGCGTGGCCACTGTCCTGCTGGTTCCCAATGGGAGGAGAAGGGAAGGGCTGCAGCATCCCTCCCTGCTGCTGTCCCCATGGGCCGGAGGTGAGCTGGGCACATTGCTGTGCTCCCAGTGCTTCACACAAACGTCCCCTGCACTCATCCTGGGGCGATGCTGGCTCGATACCAGTCCTGCTCACCCATTTCCCAAAATAATGCCACAAAAGGGGACAAGTTCTCCATGGGCCGAGGATGGTCGTGGAAACAAAGCCACAAGGAATGAGGACACTGGGCCAGCAGAGAGGGACAGCCACCACACAGCTGTGCCTGCTGCGCTGCTTCCTGTGAAGCCATCACTGCTTCAGAAGGGGGAAGCTCAGAACGTGGGACAGCGTGAATCTTCAAGCATGGATTCCTTCTTCAGGAGGAGCTGGATCTCCAGGCACAGTGTCTCCATGCTGGCAGGACTGATGGCTCTGGGCTGGGGCAGATTAGGCTCATTAGAGAGAGCCATGTTGGAGATGGGCAGCAGCATGCGATGCCAAAGGGCTGCGGCGCAGCTCCCACTCAGCCCAGGTTAATGCTGGTGCTGCCCTCCAAGCCCTGCCTCGGTTCTTGCCCACACTTCCCAGCTGGACGCTGCTAATAGGGGACGAGTCAGGCTGGCACCGTTCCCTGCCCCACAGTGGCCATGCTGTGTGGGTCAGAGCTGGGGTCAGGCTGTCACTCCTGATGCGACAAAGCCCAAAGTTTTGGGGATTTCCTGCACCGATGGAAAGAGAAAGAACTTGGCAGCGCTCCTCCTGGCCTCCTTCCACTTTCCTCTTTTGAAGTGAGTCTCCTTTTTACGGCTCCTTGCTTCAGCCTTAAGCCCGAGCAAACATCGCCACAGAGTTCATCCAACAGAAACAAACGGGGACGTCTTCTCGTGGCTGCAGAGCTGCAAAGCTGCCCACAGGCAGCACGCCCTGCCTGCAGCCCAAACAGCGCCGTCCCAAAAGCAGAACACGGGACCAGGAGCGAGCAGAGCCACAGCAGTGCTGCATCACAGCCCAGCTGCTGCCCAACTGCAGCACAGAGGAAACACAGAGGGGAGGTTTGCCAGGATGCCTGCAGCTGCCGCCCCTTTGCAGCCCCTGCTTCCCCGAGCTGCAGACCCTGCAAAATGCAGATCTTCCCATGGGCCACAAAGGCACAGCAAGGGGAAAGCGAGTGCTGAGCTTTGTGGCAAAAGCTACTGAAGCCGTAAGCTGCTTTCAGCATCAGTTTTAAGGATGACAGATGGAGGCAAGAAAAAATAAAAACAAGCAAACCCATCCTGCTCTCTGCTTCAGCCCCCAGAGGATTGGAAGTCACTGCTGCTTTTTAAGCAGGTTTTACAGCCCCATTGTGGGCCACCTGCTCTGCAGCCCCGCGTGCTCTGCCCTTAACTCAGCCCCTCATAACAGCGCTCTCAGGCACTCCATGGGGACAGAGTGCAGCACAGAGCAGCTCTGCATCCAGCAGGGAGCTCCAGCCCCACTGCAATGGGAGCACAGCTCTGAAACAGAGGGCTCTGCTCCTTGCGCCTGCAGAGCTGCAGCTCCAGGCCAGCCCAGGAGCAGAGAAGCAGAGGAAGAAAGCGATGGCAGCACGGCAGCTGCAGCCCTTCTGCCACGGAAAGAGGCAGACAGAGGTCAGAGTTTAAGGACTTTATTCTCTGCACCAGCAGACGTCTATTACAGCTGCAGGCTGACGCAGCACAGAGCCCAGCCGGACACACGGCTTTCTCCTCCACAGCCCAGGACTCCCAGTACACACAGCACAGCGGGACAAAGGCAGGAGCACGCTTCTATCTGGGCAGGATAAGAGGAGCAACACCGCCCCACAGCGAGCTCCTGCATGGCAGAGAGCTGGGCAGGAGCCGAGGTAGAGAGGCTCACACCAAGTGTGACTGCAGGCACGATAAAAGCAGAACGCTTTTAGACCATAGACCAGGCAAGAAGTGATGCCAGAGAAGAGCAGCGCCCCTCAAACACAGCTGCCAGCTGCTGCTTTTTCTTTTTGCACAATCAAGGCTCACACAGAGGGATGGTTGGGTTGCAGCTATGACAGCTGTAACGTTGGACCCGTGTTCCTCAGCACACAGCAGTCCTGCAGAACTGGCTGCTGCCCTACAACCCAGCTGATGGTGCTGCCTTCTCAAACCCGAGCTGGTGTTGTTCTTGTTTTAAAATGAGAAGTTGGAGTTCAAATCCGTCCTCCCTGTTCTGCAAGCTGTGAACAGCAGTTTAAAAAACATTAAAAAAAAAAAAAAAAACAAAACACAAGATAAAGTCAGAATTCCACCTAAGGCACCATTTTTTTTTGTTTGTTTGTTTTTTGCAGAAGGGCACAGGAAAGGGGCTCCCACAGAGCAGGCTGAGCTGTGAGGTGTCTGCAATGGGAGCAGCACAGCTGCCAGGCCACGCTCCTGCAGCACCACGTGGGCATGGAGGAAGAGCTCCGTGCAGCACAGCAGAGCCATAGCAAAGCAGCAGCCCTGCCCTGCTGTCACTGAGGTTGTGACACAAGCAGCAGCAGCACAGCTTTAGCACCAGCCCTGCTGCTCTGTGGAACCGTGAGTCCTGTTCCAGGGGGGCGATGGAGCGCCCTGCTAGAGGCAGTGCTGGCTGCAGAACTCCTCTTCCCTCCAGAAGGATTCCCATTTCTCAGCAGGAGAAGCTTTGCTGCTTGAGAGGTGGCTGAAGGCAAATACAGAGCAGCAGGAGCGGCTGCAGAGCAGCCAGAGGCACACTGATGGATCCATGTGCTGCCTTCAGAAGTCTGACAACAAAATGCCCAGCGGCCACAGGAACACAGCATGGGCTCCCAGCCCTCCTGAGCCACCCCACGCCATCCCATCATCATCACACATCATCAGAACCCACGTCAGGTCCCAGGAGCTGCCCACTCTGAAGCACCACCCTCCTCAGAACAGCAGCTACATTCAAGTCGTTAGGAAATAAAGCAGTTCAGTAAATGAGAACACGATAGCACAAAACACACCATTTCCCACAGGGTTTTGTCTGGAGGGCTCCTGCAGCACCACGTGGGAGCCCCAGCTGTAAAGAACCATTTCCTCACCTCACCAAAACCCAATCAAAGCCGAGAGAAAGAATGAACCCCATCCCTGCCCCCTACAGCAGAACCAAGCCTCCAGCACAACCCAGATGATTCAACTGCAGCACCATTAAGCTTGGTCGGACTGTATTTAAATTAAAACAAGGCATTTAAAAAGCTACCAGCACTAAAAGACCCTCACTGCTCGCCCCAGCCGTGCCCCACGCACGGCACCGCAGCCTCCTCCACCAGCTGGGGGATGTGGTGATGTGCAAAGTCGTTCCCATGGAGCAGCACACAGCCCCAAAGCCAGCTCCAGCCAGCTCCCAGGTTGCTCAGTTCCAGCGGTGACCGCAGCATTCCCAGCAGGATGGGATTGGATTCCCCAAGAGATGAGAGCAAACACCAGATAACCACCAGCAAGGAGCAGGCTGCAGCCTTCCCCCCGCCACGGGGTGCAGTCTTTGTTCACTTTTTTGGCCCTCAGAGTTTCTTCAGGCGGCTGTACAGCTCCCGTTTGCTCCTCTCGCCGGCCCAGGTTCGGCTCTTGGTGCGAAATCTTTTCAAGTCTTCTTTAAAGTCCTCGTGGTGCATGGGGCGGTAGCTCTGGGGCTCACAGAAGCTCTGGGGGAAGAAACGCGTTCGTTTCTGGTCTCATTTGACTGTGTCACAGGCTCTGAGCACAGCCAGCAGAGCTGCTGACACCACTGCCACCAGAACAAACCACACAGGAGCCCCACATCAGATACTGATGAGCAAGGCCCAGTGATCTTCAGATTACAGCTACTTCTGAAGCGAGGGTTACCAAAGAAAGCACTTTTGGCCCTGCAGACAGAGCTCTCACCTCAAGCCTTTTGGCAGACTTCAATACACAGCACAAGCAAGCAAAGTATATTCAGCATTCACCCTGAAGTCATACAGATCTGGAACACTTGCTTGTCTGGCTCAGCCAGCCCCCATCTCACAGAGCAGCACATGGAACTCCGCCATCAGCTGTCCCATGCTGCCACCTCGAGGCCCTCCAGCCCAGAGCCAGAACAATCCTGAGACACCCACAGCCACACAGGGCCAAAGCACAGCAGCATCCACCACTGTGAACAGCAGCAACCCAAGTGCTGGGATATCACACATGGGGAGCAGCACACAGCACTGCCCTGCCCCACAAACATGGGCGCAGGGAGGATGAGCATCTCGCATCTGCCTGGAACTGCAGCAGTTCTCCAAGCAGAGAATCTGAGAGATGGTCCAAAGTGTGAGGCCCTGGGAGGGACTGAAGTGAGAGGCAGGCCATGGTTCATAGCATCAGACAGGGAGAAATGGCATACAGTGACTGAAGTGCTGCAGAAGCAGAATGAGGAGCACCATGATGGGAAGAGCCACTGGCACTTATTGGTCTCCTCCGTGGAAGGATAGGTTGGAAACTCAGAGCTCAAGTTTTCTGATTTTGCTTTTTTAGTACAGCACAAGGCTTGAGGTTTCCATGTGTCATGCAGCAATTACTGCCAGGTCTCTCACCTAGCCTGCAAAGTCTAGGAGAAAAGTCTTAAACACTTTCTCTGTGTAATATTTTGAACTCCTAGTTGCTACAGAAAGACAAAACAGTTTCACATCTTACTCTAGAAACAAAGGAAAAGTCTCCTGGCTATGGCAGCGAGGCAGTTCTGAGGTGTGGAATTGGCTTAGAGAAATGAAGGCACTATTGCTGCCAAGTTCTGACTGCTCTCAGTGCAGGGCTGCGCTGTGAAACAGCAGAAAGAAAAACACCCCAGGAAAAACACTCTCTGCTCCACAGAAAGTCTGATTTGAGGTTCAGGTATTTTGAGAGCAGAAACGTGGAGCTTCAGGGGGCCTCACTTACCCGGCACCGCAGGAAGAAGTCCCTGTACCCCCCCTTGAGGACGTAGAGCTCAGGGTAATGCAGGTTGGGGTACTCATTCCCCAGCCTGTCCCGCTCCCTCACAAAGCGGCACCTGCAGACGAGACCCCGTGTTAAAGATGGCATTAAGCTGCAGGGGGGAGCAGTGCCTCCCCTGCCCTCCACAGCTCACGTGGGGTTTGTGGGTAACTCACATGCGGGGCCCCCGCTCCGAGGAGAACTCGCAGTGGAAGACGACGATCACCCGTTTGTTCTTGGAGGGAGGGATGGGGTTCTTAAGCAGGAAATCTTCCACATCCTCCTCCATGTGGAGGTTTACAGCATCCTGTGAAGGCAGCCGGTAAGCAATGGGTGCCATCCCACTCGTGCCAACCCTCTCTTGATACTGGGGACAAAGCCCCAAAGCAAAGCAGGCACCGCACGCAGCCCAGTGCCGCACTGCCTGCCATCCCAGAGAGCCCCACCAGCAGCTGCAGGCGGCCTGCTGGATCTCACTCACTGTACTGCAGAGGGGCAGCAAGCTTAAAGAGCAACAAGCTTTAACAACACCCCCACAGCCACTCATTCTATAGCAAAAGACCATGCGTTCAGTGAAGCATCGTACTCCTACCAGCACCTCAGAGGTGAGGATGCTGGGCACTGCAGGTGATGCACCCTGCCCTGGAGCTGCCTGCCCACTTGTCTCCTCCTCTGCAGGAGAAGGGAAGCAGTTCCCCCCCCTTACAGAGCACAAACCAGGTGTGTGTGCAGACCAAACAGCACAAAGGCACACCGGGAGCCCAGGGCTGCCGTTCCACGCGCTCTGCCTTGCTCTCCCACTACCACAGCACACCTTGATGTGTCCTCCTTCGTACTCGTACGGATAGCGGCAGTCAATGATCACACACTGCTTAATGAAGCTTGCAAACTTCCCAGTCAGGACAGACACAATCTGAAAAGAAAAAAGAAAGAAGCACTTTAATTGTTTAGAGGGCTTTTTTAATTACTGAAGTAAAGAATGCCTCGCTGTCCCCAGAGCACGTACCATTTCTGAGTCAATGTACTTTAAATCTTGATGCTTCCCATCAACAGTGTGGAACAAATAACCCTAGAAAACAGACAGCATTCAGCAGAGAACACTTCAGCCGTGAGCCACACACTCAGCACCCAGCAGTCAGCTTCAGAACATGCTGCACTGACAAGGATTTCTGGAGCTAAGCGTAACATTCAAAAGTCCACAACCCCAGGGTTCAGGGGCACAGCTTTTCTTTGGCTCCTGCACTGAAGATCTTGCAGAAATCACTTCAGGACTGACCTACGAGAGCACCATTCCCACTGGCAGCCCCCAGGGACTGGGGACGCACTGTGAAGAAGGGAAGAGCTTTACTTCACCTCTCTAGAAGAGACCATTAAACCAAAGCACGTGATTACCTTTGAGAAGTCACCAATAAGGTCCCTCTGGTCACTGGCCAAAATGCTCTCAATTTCTGCTGCAGAGGATTGCGTCTTTACTATTTTTGTGTTCTAGAAGAAGAGAGGTTAGAGATGAATGCCAAACACTGATGGTATGAGACTCCTTCCCCATAGGGTAAGAGAAGAGGCAGCATTTACTGACAGCCTGATGCACAGCTTCCCCTTAGGATCAATAAGGGTTCAGAGCACACAGCCCCTGCACCACCTCCGTCAGCCCCACACCACACTATCAGAGCAGCAGCTCCCCCAGTAAGCTCAGCAGCTCAGCCCCAGTGACCTTCACAAACGAGACCCCTGCACCACAGCACCAAGCCACCAACCACTGAGTCTTCAGACTGTGCTCCAGGCAGGCTTTTCCTCTTCTTGCTTTTCCCTGGAGAACTCTCCTCCTGGGACCTCTCCATTCTTTTCTGGGTGGTTCTGCTCACACCACTGGGCAGAGACGAAGAGCCAAAGAGGCGGCATCGCCTGGCCTGGGGGAGAGACAGAGAAGATGTCCAGCAAAAACCAAGATGAGAAACTAAGCAGGCCTCAGACTTCCAGACTACCCAGCCTAGCATCAAATGCTGGCAGCCCTGCCTACAGCAGAGGGGTGGAAGCTTGATGATCCTTAGGGTCCCTCCCACGTCAAGTCATTCCATGATATGATGATATGGTATTAGCAGGACAAGGGGAAATGGTTTGAAGTTGAGGGAGGGCAGCTGGAGGTTGGATGTCAGGGGAAGTTGTGTGCTGTGAGAGCAGGGAGGTGCTGGAACAGCTGCCCAGAGAGGCTGTGATGCCCCGTCCATCCCTGGAGGTGTTGGAGGCCAGGTTGGATGGGGCCCTGGGCTGCTGTGCAATGGGGAGGTTGGTGGCCCTGCATTGGTGGGGGGGTTGGAGCTTCGTGATCCTTGAGGTCCTTTCCAACCCAACTATTCTATATGATACGATATGACGATGTGATATGACTGCAGTAAAGTTTGGCTCATCTAAGGTGCTGTCACAGCACAGCAACAGCAGGATGTGCTCAGGACCACCTACACTGGGGGCTTACATTCCCACTAACAATTGTTTCTGGCTGTGAGGACAGACGAGCTCAGAGCACAAGGCTGTGTGCTGGCAGAATGCTTTGTATCAACCAGCAGACCATCCAACAGCAGATTCTGAGCCTGCTGTTGGACCCTGCATTGCCCTCACAGTCTATTACCTGAAGTCTGGGCTACAGGCATTCCAGGTAAGGCAGTGAGAGCTGTATTCAAGATACGCCAGTATCTGATAAGGGAAGTCAAGCTCTCCCCCCATTTCTAAGTGTCTGTGTAAAAAGCAAGTTCCCGTGGATGCACACCACTGAGAGCACTGCCCTACACTGGCACAGCCTCCCAGGCAGCAGGCTTAACAGGAACACAGTCCTGCAGGGGTCTCACACTGCCCTGTTTTGTGGCTGAGGTACAGGATCAGAGCACCACGAGCTCTGTGAGCACAGCACTCACCCGGCTGTCCGGCCTCCTGCTGACCAGCGGCGCGGTCCAGAGGCTCGCCACGTCCGATGGCATCTCCTCATCGTTCTGAGAAACAAAGACAGTTCACTCTCATCTGCCTCTCTGCTGACAGATGCTGTAAATACCTGAAGCTCCTGTAAGCTTGGGCAAACTTTACAGCTGAATTCAGCTGCCTGAGCAGTTTTAAGAACTCTGCTACCAGCTGTTATTTCACTGGGCGATGAGCTGAGCCCCATTGGAAAGGAGAAGTTAAATCAATTCGTTCACTGATAAAACGACGCCCTTCCAAAGCCTTAAGCACGTCAAGTTCAGTAGGAACTGGACTTCTGAAAGCAAATATCACTTTCAGCTCCCTCAGTGAGTTCCTAAAGAAAACACCAACTCTTCCAGTCATCCTCCACGGCTCCACAACTCAGTAGGAACAGCAATACCTCTCTGACTGCTGCTCACACACCAAGCAAACCCCATCACCTGCACGAGGGATCAGCACAGAACAGACGCTACAACGGAAGAGTTGAGAAACACCCCTGAGTCTCTCAGGAACCCCTCGTGCCTGCCTACCTGCAGTCTGAATTACCACCAGAACGTGCATGTTACTCCATGTTACAGAGAGAAGAGCATCACATTTCTTTTGCACCTACTTTCAGATCTTGCTCGTCTAAGAGCTCCAGGAATCCGTCGTCATCTTCGCTTTCAGAGCAGGTCAGGGAAGGCTGCTGCAGGAAAGCTGGCCTGTAGTTTTCCAGTTCACCCGTGGGCATTTCTTGACTGGGAAACTGAGACAGAACGTTTAGTTTTAACTACATTCCTCTTCTTTACAGCAGGATGCTGCAGATGGAAAGAGTGCCATCTCACCATGGTGATTAAGATAGTGGCTAATCCTGCACCTCGAATGCACTGACCTGGGCAAACCCCAAACCAAGCCCCCATACTTTATTTGGTCCATCAGCCTGGTCAATTAATAGGGCCCCTATCTGGAAACACTGGATAGTGAAGGGATGAAGGAGAGGAACAGATGATGGCAGAGGAACAGGAATTAATACCAACTCTGTCAGGAGCACTGAGATGAAGCACTACCAGATTCAACAAGCACAGACAGGACTCGGCCCCAGGCTCTGTTTCTGTGCAAGGATCCAACAGCATCTACTCTGCACTGCTATCCACTCACTGGATGCTCTGTGCCACAGCCACAGCTCAGCATTGCCCAGTGTCTCAGCCAAACAATACAGATTTTCACATCTGACAGACATAAGCTTCCCTTTTGGGCACGTGAATAGTGATGATATTAACAGCACTGTCCCAGAACACAGCCACGACACGGTTTTTCCTCCTGCCAGCAGGTAGCAGAGGATAGAATGACTACCAAGACCACTGAGGTGCTTACCTCCTCAGCCAGGGCTGAGTTCTGCCTTTGGCCAAGAACACTCTTCCCATCATGGATGTGTGCAGAACTCCGAGAAGCTGGCTTGGCTGGCTTCTTAAACTCAAATGATTCCTGAATTGAAGAGAGGAAAGCGATCAGTTTACCAAAACAATGAGCTGTGCACACTGCCAGGACCTTTGTACCTCCTTTCTCCCCATTTAAGCTACCTGACGTTTTGAATTCAAGCTCCCCGCTGCCAAACAGCAACAGTCTGAGTGCACTGTAACATCTTTGCTTTGAAAACATTCAGTGATTCACCTAACACAACCAAGTTCTCACCCCATTACCTGCAGGCTCAAGGCATTTTGGTTTTCTTCTGTTCTCTGCTAAAGAAGCCACGGTAAGGCAGCTGCAGCCTGCTGAGCAGAACTTCGCCTGCTGCTGGGTGACGGCGCTGGGCCTGTCAGCAGCCTGCACACAGCACTGCCAGCAGCAAGGCCTCCCAGAGCACAAAGATCACGGCCCAGCCGTGCTGCTGAGGAACCAGAGCTCCCCACATTGGGGCTGAAAGAAGGTATGGAGATCTGGGCAGCCTCCTGGAGGCACCATCACCCAGACAGCATTATGGAAACTTTTTGCCTTGCCGCAGACCAAGAGGAGCCAGGTGCTACAGCAAGGAGGAAGAAGCTGTACAATTAAAGCCTCCCTCCTTGCTATTAACCTATTATCAGCTTGCAGTCACCGCAATCAGCGCCGTCCACTTTGCTGCAGCTTTCTCTAAGCTGAGCTGCACAAAGCTCTGTGATGCCCTGCAGCCTGGCAGCAGCTCCCAAACCTCTCCCACCCCACGAGGAGTGTTGATTCCTCAGCGCCGCCTCTCACAGCACACCACCTCCAGAGACATGCAGTACTCACATTCTCCTTATTCTCATTCTGTTCTAAAAGCTGAAAAGCATTACAATCCGTGGAATCCGAATGGCTTCTCTTCAGAGCAGGACTGGAGCCCAGGAGTCTTTGCTGTACAGTGCAGACAGAAGTGCTAGTTAAGCACCACGCAGTGCAGCCTCTGCACAAGTACATCTTAAGCACAGGAGGGGCATTAGTGACACTGTGAGCTCTTCCCTTGCAAGTGAGTGCAGGCTGTGTGCAGGGGTTTCAGCTGCATTACAAACAGACAAAGCTACACAGGAGAAATCTTGCAGCCAACACACAAACTAGATTTCAAGTTCATTAAGCCCCAGCTTTCAGTTTTCAATCAATACCATAACAGCTGCTCTAGAAGAGCGTAAATGAGCAAGATGTGGGAGGTTCCCAACTACAGTCAGCACAGCAAGCCCTTTAACACTCCTGCAGGGTCAGCACCTCCTCACTCACCGGCAGTGAATGTATTCTTCTGAGAGGCAGTCGAAGGCTGCAATGAGAAAGAACACTTTTATTTCCAACATTTCCTTTGGTAAGGCAGTAACGAGAGCAACGCTCCCTTTTTGCAGGACTATAAGGCTGGAAGCAAACCCACAGCAGTGACTAGAAGTCAGACAGGAGAATACTTACTTCAGCCTGCTAGATGCAAGAATTGCCTTCTCAAATCTGAAAGAGAAATGCCCCACAGTTAACAACAAAGGACAGCATGCTCAAAAATCAACCTTGTTTTAAGCCACAGAGCAAACAGAAGCCAGATGCTTCCTGATAATGCTGTCCATCTCAAAAGGTATTTATGGCCATCTTATCCCACCCTGGTTCTCAAAGCTCTTGCTGGAATCCCACTCTCCCTCCTTTCCTCAAAGGACTTCCAGCACTGATTAGACACGAAGCCGGTGCCAAGAGAAAAGCTGGGGAAATTGAGGACCAAAGGCATCTGCCCCCCACCCCCAGGATGGAAGATTAGGAAACGTGTTCATTTACAGCTGATCAAGAGACAAATTGCATGCTAAAAGCAACTGCACGGAATCAGGACACAGCCAGGCAGAAGCACCCAGTTAAGGACCCAGAGCAAACTGCAGCTTCCACTGCAGGCTGCCTCAGCTCACTGAGCTGCAAGCTCTGGGGCAGACAGCACAGCAAGGCAGCCTGCACTTGCAGAGCTGGGAGCACAGCCTTCCAGAAGGTAAAATCAGAGCAAAGGAGAAGCCACGTCAAGCCTCTCATCAGCCCACATTTGTTAACAGCACAACGTGAAGCTGCTGAGCTCAGGCTGAGCAGCTGCTTACGTACGTTTCCTCTCTGATGTCGCTGGGGGTCGGAGTGCCAGGAGAGTCCAAGGCACAACCTGCAGAACAGACAGCAATTCATGGTGAGCCCCGGCTCGGCCCACAGGAACACAAGGTGTTGGCCATGGCCATAAGGCTCCTCTAAAGGTGCTGAGTTCAGACTGAAACTGGCACAGAAAGCTGTCCTCTGCACCCAGCAGCACACCGAAATAAAGGCAAGCACTCCATGCACAGCACAAGCACAACATCACCACCACACAGCAGCTTCTAATCACTGCCAGATACAGCCTCTGTGATCTGAGCCCACAGCCACACAGAACTGACCTGAGTAACACGACAGGCACCCAGCTCAGCACCTTAATCCTAAGTATTCTGTAACACTTGTGATTTGCTAAGGAGATGGGAAGAGGAGAAGAGAGCCAAGCAGCAGAGATGCAGCCAGTTCAGGTCCTTATCTCCATGCAGCCTGCCAACTGCACTTGCTTTTTAGTGCTTCCTTTGAAGGCTGAAGTACTGCACAGAGACTCTGGTGCAGAAACTCAGGTGGAAGCACTGATTTCCATCACTGGGACAGACAGTGACACATCAAAAGCTCTCCCCACTCCACAAGTCACAGGGTAATACCTTATTTCATTTCCACTGATAAAAGCCACCTCATCTGAAGAAGAAAAATAAAGAGAACTTCTCAACAAGCATCTGTACTACAACAGCTCCCCAGCCTGTGAGAGTCACATCAGCACACACAAGCAGAAAGCCACAGACAAAACCCAAGCCACAAGAGAAACCCTGCTTGGCAGCCTCCATGAGAGCATGCACAGCAGGGTAGCAGAGCTTGCCTTTAAAGAGAGAAACCACAGCCCAACACCTCAGTTATCACCCTCCAAAGGGGGACTCAATCTGGTCCCATAGTGAGCTGAAGGCAGATACGTGCTGCGTCCCAACAGCAAGCAGCAGAATGCAACCTCAGCTTCCAGAGCACAGCCATGAGCACTCACAGGGCAGCACCAGCTCACTGGGGCAGCCTGCCTCAGCCACCTTGAGCAGCACTCATCCTCAGCCAGCTCTTCGGCAAGGGCTGACCCACTCCCAACAAGGTGCAGGCCTACTGCTGTTACAGCGCAGAGCAGCGGGGCATCAGCACACAGCACTGACACAGTGGAGTTTGCCTCTCTGGAGCACAGAGCAAAAAACAGGTCAGCAGCCACATCTAACAGTCATCCTAAGAGGATTCATCATCATCCCATCAGCAGAGGGGTGGCAGCAGGGACAGGGAGGTGATTGTCCCTCTCTGCTCTGCCCTCATGTGTCCCAATCTGCAGTGCTGTGTCCAGGTCTGGAGCCCCCAGGACAAGAAAGACAGGGAGCTGTTGGAGAGGGTGCAGAGGAGCCACAAAGATGCTCAGAGGCTGCAGCACCTCCCTGCAAAGACAGGCTGAGGGAGCTGGGCTTGTTCAGCATGGAGAAGAGAAGCTGCGGGGTGACCTCAGTGCAGCCTGCAGTGCCTGAAGGGAGCCTGCAGCCAGGAGGGGAGTCAGCTCTGTGCAAGGGGAGATGGCAGCAGGACGAGGGAAATGGTTTGGAGCTGAGGGAGGGCAGCTGGAGGTTGGATGTCAGGGGAAGTTGTGTGCTGTGAGAGCGGTGAGGGGCTGGAACAGCTGCCCAGAGAGGCTGTGATGCCCCGTCCATCCCTGGAGGTGTTGGAGGCCAGGTTGGATGGGGCCCTGGGCAGCCTGGGCTGCTGTGCAATGGGGAGGTTGGTGGCCCTGCATTGGTGGGGGGTTGGAGCCTCGTGATCCTTGAGGTCCCTTCCAACCCAAGGCATTCTGTGATAAGAAGCAAAAAGAAATGCTCTCTCTGCCAGGCCCCCTTTGGAGCCAGAACCAGTTTTTCCTCCATGCAAACCTCACTGCAAACACAGTCTAGGACAATTGGAAGAGAAAACATCCCAAAACACGGGCTGCAGGAGGCCTGCTGAGCAACAGAAACAAGCCTGCCTTCCTCCGCAAGTGTGAGGGTGAGAAATGGCTGCAGGGACCAAAGGCAGCACTATTTCTGTATTCAAAACTGTAAGAAGAGTGAGAGTGCAGTGCTTCCCATTACTTCCTCGTGATTCACTGAGAACACCATACCTGAGTCTGTTGATTCTGAGGACACTGTTCTTTGCAAACCATTGGCACTCTTGTTTCCCAGGTCTTGTGCAGTATTTTCATGCTGACTGTAAAAGAAGGAATTTTAAATGCTTTTTAAGTGAGAAATACAAAACAGGAGCACAAGAAAGCAGACATACAGCACAGGACTGAGGGCCCTTTCAGTCACCTTGCACCACACCACCAAGCCTTCTGCACAACACAAACCAGGAGGTTTTGGGGTTTTTTTTCCTCCTCTGACCATTTCAGAGCCTCTCATGCTCTTGCGTCTTCACAAACAAAGGATTTAATAGAACAAAATAACAGCTTGCAATAGAAGTTCAGGACTAAAACCACTTTGTGGAGTGTGATATTGGTGCCTGGGGGCACAGCAGCACCTCCCAAACTGTGCTCTGGGAACACCCCTATCAACAGCCCATTATCTCTCCCAGGACTGTAACCTCCTCTCCAGCACTGATTTCATGATTGTTCCGCATATAGAAAACAAGCTTTGAGTTTGAGAACTGGGGGGTTTGGCCTGTTTTGGTTTTGGGGATTTGTTTTTGGTGTGTTTTTTTTTGAAGCAGAGAAGTAGTTCAAGTTCAAACTTGAGCCCAAGCCCTTCCCTGCCCACCAACATCAATGGGTGCAGCCCCCCCACTTCCTGGGGGCAGGAGCACTGTGGGCACGCACTGCTCACACACATGAGCAGCCCTGGTGCAGAAAATACAAGCATCACGCAGAGCATTCCTCTGCATCACCTTTAAATGGGGGAAAAAGCTACCGAGTGGGGCTGCTCTTATCGTACTGATCAACTCAGAAGATGAAACAGGGCACAAGGTGGGGGTGCAAAGCCACAGGGCAGAACACCCAACATGGAAGGGCCCGGTGGGAATCCTCAGCAGGAATCCCTGGAATCTGAAGGCGGGAAGGATCACAGGGCTGAATACAGAAATAAGAACCATCTAAAAGCAAGCAGCAAAGGAGAAATACCGGCAGGGCACTCAGGACTGAGCAGGAGGTCAGAGTGAGAAGGGAGCCACAGGAGAAGCAAACTGCAGAGCAGGAAAAGCACCCACACAGCGGGATGAGATGAGACGGCCAGAGCAGAGTGAGGGAAGATGGTGGCACGTGGGGATGTGGGAATGGGACGGCACCGAGTGTGGGCAGGAGAGCAGGGCGGGAGGGGAGGGAGGGGAGGCGAGAGGTGCTGTGAGCAGCAGGGGGAAGGAGAGACACGGTAGGGCTGGGAGGAGGGCCGGGAGGAGCGGGGTCTCGACTTGGGGGCGGCAAGGAAAGAACTGCCCCGTGTTCCGTTTGGGGTGGGGGATCACCAGGCCTCGGTTTGGGGGCTGCTGAGATCCTGGAGGCCTCGGTTTGGATGGGGAAAAAGGGGGTGGGGAAAGGCTCATCGAAGGCTCCGTAAGGGGGTACGGAGCGGGGAGAGCCCTGGGCCGCGGAATTAGGGACCGAAGAAATCCTCGGGGGTTAGGTTGGAGGGGGGAGAAACGGGGCCTCGAGGCGCCGTTGGGGAGGAAGTCGAGGGGGCTGGAATACGGCGTTGTGAACGCGGTACTCGAGGGGCAGGGAGGAAGGGCTCCTTTCTGTCCGTGCGTTGGAGGGGAGCGAAGCGTGAAGAGCCCCAGGCCGGGGCTGCGAGGGAAGCCCTGCCGGCCTCGCCGCTGTAAGCGGGCGGAGAGGGACCTGCAGGCTTCGCTCCGGAGCCGAGGGGAAAAGCGGAGAACCCGGAGACGCCGGTTAAGGGGCGAGGGGGTAAAAGAGGGCCTCGGTGGGCTCTGACTGACCCGTGTCCCAGCTGCTCCATAGTGAGGCGGAGATCTGAGACCGGCGAGAGCTCGGTGGGAAAGAGAGACTTGACCGCGGCGGCGGGTGAAGCCGAAGAGACGTGCGGGAGACGGCGGCGGGAGGCGGCCGGTGCGGGATTCATGGGGCCGAGCAGCGCAGAGCGCGACCGTCCTGCTGTCAGCGCTGCCCGCGCCGCTTTGACCCCGGCCGCTACCCGTCGCTGGCGCCAAACCGCCTCTCCACCAATCAGAAGCCTCCTCGGAGCGGCGCGGGGAGAGGGAGGGCTTTTCTCTTCAGCTCTCCCCGCCTCTGATCAATCGGAGAGGAGGGAGGAGCCGACTCCCTATTGATTGGCAGGCGATCTGTCCAATAGGGAGAGGTTATCCCACTAGGGAGAGGTTATCCCACTGACCTGGCTGCGGAACTGCATTTCCCGGCGTGCAGCCGCCGGAGAACGCGTTGCCCGCCTCGCCGGCGCATGCTGGGAAATGTAGTCCTCTGCCCCAGAGACGCGTCTGGCCCCATCCCTACTCGTCCCGTAAGGATATTAAAAAAAAAGGGAAGATGAGGAAAAACTCGCACAATATAAGGCAAAAACCGGGCCTTGGCGAGCCAACGAGCTCTCCCCGTGTCACCTCTGGTCAAAAGAGATCTTTGTGAAAGCGATCGGCAAGCACTGCCCGCAGGAAGATGGCGGCGGAGCAGAAAGATGCAGAGCCATGGAGACGCGTGCGACAAACAGCACAAACGGCCCCTCGGCAGCGCGTGACACCGAGCCGTGCCGTGCACACACCAGCAGAGGGACCTGGGCAGCCCACAGCGGGCACAGACCCTGCGGGGCTGTAAGGAAGGGGGCAGGCTCTGCAGCAGGGCTGTGGGATGGCACAAAGGGAAATGGCTGCAAACCAAAACGGGAGATCCACGTGGATGTGAGGAGGGAGTTCACACGCTCGGGGTGCTGAGGCGCTGCACAGAGGCGCGGTGCTCATCCCTGGAGGCGCCACAGACGGGATGGGCTGGGAGCACCGGTGGAGCTGCGGGCATCCCTGTGTGCTGCAGGGATTTGGACCGGGTGGCCTTTACAGATCCCTTCCAACTCAAACCATGCTGGGATTCTACAATTCTAATGATTTTAATGCTCTGAAGGACTCAGCAGGAGGAAGTGCAGCAACGACCAGGGCAGAGGTGCAGTGAGTTTGCATGGATGCTGTGCCATCCCCATGCTCATCAACCCAGGACGTGGGCAGGGGAGCAGGGGTGACCGACTCCATCAGGAGCACAGCTTGATGTAGGTTCCTGGCAGCCAGAGCCAGAAGTAAGGGAAGACCTTCTCGCTGAAGGAGACTTTGAACTGCAGGATCTGTCGCATGTTGTCAGTGTTGTAGAAGGTTACTTGCCCGGCCTCATAGTCCAGATGGACCCTGATGCGCCGTGGTTCTTCCTCCAGGCTCAGCGGGGTGGGCGGCATGGTCAGCATTGTGTAGCTGCTGTCCCAGTCCATCCGCAGGGCCCAGATCTTCTCCATAGCCACCTTGAGTGGCTCCTTCCTCTGCACAGACTCCAGGGCCACCCCCACAGCCCAGTTGTTCCCATCCCCAACCTCCAGCTCCCAGTAGTGCCTCCCAGCCGTGAAGCCCTCAGATCCCAGCACGCTGGCGGTGCCCGTAAACCTCTTGGGAGTGTCAGGGAGGTCCTGCTGTCCTTCTGCTATCTGCAGGGTTCTGCAGTCACTTGAGATGGTCAGGTACGGGCTTGCTGTCTCGAGGTCCAGCAACACCTTCACTAATGCACAACAGAGAAGAATCAGCCTGCTGCCTGCTGAGAAACCAGCCAGCACCTTTCCTTCCTCTTCCATTGGGCTGGGACAGGTCCTACGGGTACAGCATCCAACCATGACCCACCACAAATGCAGCACCCACAGCTTCCTCAGGGGGCACAGACATGGGGCACGGCGTACCTGCTGTTCTCCCCGTCAGTCCCACAAGAGGAACAGAGCCAGGTCTAAGCATGACAGAGCTGCTCTGCTTCCCAGAGTAAGGCTGCAAGGCAGTGCTGTGCCAGGCAGGTCTGGTTGCTGCGATGGGGAGCTCTGCTGCTCCTAGCCCTGCTCTGGGGAGCACCCAGGCCACCTCCCTGCAGAGCTGCGTGACCACACTGAACGTCACCCTGGGCCTCAGAGGTGTCACCACTCAGTGCCACCACCTCAGGCCCTCCACTGAGCCCTGGAGCCTCATATCCCAAACCCCAGTGCAGGGGAAACTGAGACTCATCATCTGCAATGCTGAGGGCAGGGAGCAGCCGGCCTGCAAATGGCTTCAACCAGAACACAACAGCCCCAAACCCCACCATGCTGCTGGGATTGCTCACAAGGCTTTTCCAATCTGTGCCTAAAAGTTGGCCCAGGGTGTGCATAGGCCCATAAGTCTTCCAGATCATGGCACAAGAATGAAAAGATCTCTCAAGCCAGCGCAGCCCAGCTGTCATTTGGTGTTGGGCACCTCGGGGTGGTTTCTGGCACAGGGCTGACCTGAGTTTGTACAGCAGGCAAAAGCAAGAGGCCCGGCTTTAGGTGGCCTTTGCATTTAAATGTTATGCCTTGAACCCACCACCGCCCTAAGGGGGCAAGGAAACATTTCAGGAATGTTTTTCTCTCATTTGTCCCACCAGCTTAAGCAAACTTACCTCTTTCTGTGTCCAACTTGCTCAGCAGGTTCACTGCAGGAAGGAAAGGGAGATGCATGAGGGCTCTGGGAAGTGTGGGTCAGAAGCAGAGCCCACCTCCAGCTACTGCAGCCCTGAGCTCTGGCGGTGACCATCTGGGAGCTGCCTCAGCCTGGAGCCCACTGGGACCATGGCTGCAAATCCAGCATCGCTCGCTGCCTTTTTACCTCTGAAGTCACCCAGCACAGCCTGGACCTGCTCGCTCGTCTTGCACAGGTTGCTGACTGTCCTCTGCAGCTCTGGGGAGACCGGCTCTGGGACAGGGAGCTTCGCTTCCATGCACCTGGGGGAGACAGCCTGCAGGGAGCCCACATCCAGAGCCAGGAGGGAAACGGGCACAACAGAGGGGACAGATGTCACCCAACTCCCCAGGGCCTGGCTGGGGTCACAGTGCGTCCCAGGCACCGACACATCACACTTAGGTCCTAACTACTTAGGGGGCAAAACCACCTCCTCCTGGCAGCTGCTGCTCAGCATCCAGCAGGTTTCCAAGCACCTGCCCAGTGCTCTGCACAGTTCTTACCTGTCCAGAATGCCAGCAATATCCTGGGAGAGAGAAAGCATCAGTCAGGGCTTACAGCACTGCGGAGCAGCGCAGCCCCCAGGCGCTGAATTCCAGCACGTAGCACAGTGATGGGGAGCAGCTTGACACCGGGATTTGTCACCCAAATCCCTCAGCTCAACCACAGCCTCACCGTCAGGAACTCAACTGCCGGCTGGTCACGTTTCTTCTGGATCTCCACAACCAGCTCCTCCAGCAGCCTCCTCCTCTCTGAAACACGGCAGACGTACTCTTGGTGCTGCTCCATCAGCCTCTCGTGTGCCTCATCGAGCTGGGCCAGCAGAGTGCCCTCCTGCTCCTTCAGAAACTGCTGCAGCTGCTCAAAGGCAGCACGAAGCTTCTGCTGCTCTGAGGCCACCGTCCCCTGTGAGACACCCGGCCCTGAGCACCCCGTCTGCTGCGGGGAGGGGACGGGGATCACAGCGAGGAGACAGAGGCTGGGAGGGAAAAGGGTGGATGTACAGAAGGTTATACGGGATGGACAGATGGCAGGACATAGGAGATGGGTATATGGAAAAATATACAGGATGGATGAGCGGAAGGATGAGCAGGATGGATGGGACAGACGTATGGAAGGGGATACGGCATGGACATAAGGAAGGAAATATGGGATGGACACCTGGAAGGAGAGATGGGATGGATGTATGGATGGAGACATGGGACTGACATATAGAAGGATGGACAGGGTGGGAGAGAGGAAACAGCAGTGCTGTTCTGGAGAAGGAGGTAAGTATGAATGGGGAGAAGGGCTGCACCCCCAAAGAGGTGGGTGAGCGGGCAGGGAGCGCAGGGCAGAGACGGGCACACACCATCAGCACGTTACTTCTGGTTTCTCCTTCGGGATTAAACTCTTCCTTCTCTTTCTCTAGAAATGCCAGATTGCTCTGGAGTGTTTCCTGGAGAAAAAAAAAAGGAAAAAGCAAATCCTTTCAGCACTTGGAGCATTACATTTGCAAGACGGTGACACCCAACAGCCCTATGGAGACAACACGGCTGTGCAGCATGGGGTGAGTGTGGTGTATTTGTGAGCTCACCCCAAGGGGAAATGCTGAGCTCAGTGCCAGCCTCCAGCTCACCCCGAGCACACCATGCATGGCTGCAAAGCACCTGGCACGCAGCTGCTTTGGCCAGAGCTGCGTCTGGAACGGCGTCATGTGGAAACCCTGATGTTTGTGGGTATTTTTAATTAGGAAAAAACAACTTTTGGTGTTGGAAGCAGGATTTGTGGGAAGAGGTTTGGAGCAACAGCAGAGCTGTGTCTCAAATGTGCTCCTAAATTCTCTGGAGTGACATAGAAGTGCCTTACTGACATATGGGGCGCTGGGGAGCTCAGGGGCTGCAGAGGGGTGAGAGGGGCTGGGGGAAGTGAGGAGGCAGAGGGAAGAGGCAGGAGAACTGTTAGCCCCAGCAGAGCAGCAGGGCCATGGAGTACAGCCCAGGGCCAGCTGGGAGCCAGCATGCAGCTGGGGATGGGCCTCCATCCTTGCCCCAGGGGGAACCTCCAGCCACATGGAGACGGACCCCACATCTGTGCCTTGAACAGATTCAGACTCACGTCCAAAAAGAGCCCCAAGACAAAGCCCAGCAGGAGCCCAGAGCTATGCCTAGGTAGGATCCATATTTGTGACTGAAATGGACCCAAAATCTGTGCCCAGAGGGGACCCCAGCTCCACACCTGGAAGAGATCTCAACCTGTGCCCAGAGGGGACATGCTTGTGACCAGTGGGGACCCCAGCCAGCGCTCAGAGCACATCCTGACCTGTGCCCACTGAGTACACAGATCTGTGTGTAGATGGGACCCATAGCCGTGCCTGAAAGGGACACCAAATCCACGCCTCGAGGGGACCCCAACCTGTGCTCCTGTGCCTAGGGGGGATCCCAGCTCCATGCCTGGCAGACACCCCAACCCACACACAGAAGGGACCTCAGCTTCCACATGGAGAGAACCTTGACCCATGCCCAAGAAGGACCCTGACCTGTGCCCAGAGATTTGTGCCTAGATAGGATCCCAGACCTCTGCCTGGATGGAGCCGCAGATCAGTTCTTAGAGGGGACCTCATTATATTCCCCTGTGCCACAGGGGACCCTCAGCTCCATGCCTGGCAGAGACCCCAACCTGTGCTGAGAAGGGATCCAGATCTGTACCTGAATTGGGCCCCATTATCTGTGCCCAGTGGGACAAGAACCTGTGCCCAGATGGGACCCTGATCTGTATGTAGAGGGGACCCTAACCTGTGCCTGGGATCCAGGCCTGTGCTTCGATGGGGCCCATATTTATGCCTGAAAGAGACCCCAAATCTGTGCCTAGAGGGGACCCTGAGCCATGTCCCTGCACCCAGAAGGGACCCCAGCTCCACGTCTGGAAGACACCCCAACCAGCCCCTAGAGGGGACTCCCGGCCTGCGCCCCCGTGCCCGGAGAGGGCCCAGATCCACATTTTTGCCTGAAAGGACCCCCAGATCTGTGCCTTGAGGGCAAACAAACCCAGACCCACGGCCAAAAAAAAAAAAGCTCCGCGCTCAGCACAGAATTCACACACACCCACAGGGGTTCCCAGCCTGCGCCTCTAACGCTAGAGGCACCCCGGCTCCGCGCCCAGGGGGGACCCCGACCCGCGCACCTACAGCTGGAGCTGCCGCGGCTCCACGGGGTGGAACCCCACACCGGGTTACCCCCCCCGACTCCCCTTCCCGTCCCCCTACCCTCATTATCGTCGCGGCTTCCTCCGCCGGCCGGGCTCGATGCCGGCAGCGCGGAGCCTCCCGGGGGCACCGCGGGCACAGCGCCCGAAAGCAGCTGTGGCAGAAGAGCTCCAAAACCTCGTCGTGCTCGGGGCAGCGCGGCCGCTTCGCTTCTTCCCCCGCCGCCTCCTCCACGGCGGCCGCCAGCTCGGCCACGGCGCCCAGCGGGAAGTTGGGCCGCAGCGAGCCGGGCTCCACGGCGGCGCGGCACTGCGGGCAGGCGGCGGGGCGCGGCGGGGAGCCCAGCAGGAGCCGAGCGCAGGCCGAGCACAGGCTGTGGCCGCAGGCGGTGAGCACGGGCTGGGAGAAGAGCTCCAGGCACAGCGGGCACGTGGCCTCGGCCTGCAGCTGCTCGCCCAGCGCCCGCAGCGCCCGCGCCATGGCGGGGCCGGCGGCAGGACGGGGGCGGTGCGGAACCGCCGCGGGGCGGGGAAGCGGAGACTGTGCTGGGCAGGGGGGGGGGAATATGTGGGGAGGTGGGAGGAGAAGGGGGGGATCCGGCTCGTGCAGCTGCCGTCAAATCCTGCAGGGCTGAGACGGGACGGAGCCGGGCTGAGCTCCGGGCTGAGCTCCGTGCTGCTGGAGCGTCCGTGTGCTCACATAGCGCTGAGTGCGTGCTGTGCAAGGCGTGTGTGTGTGTGCGTGTGTGTTTACGTGTGCGTGTGCATGTGCATGTGTGTACATATGTGCGTTCGTGTGTGTGCATGTGTCTGTGTGTGTGCTTCCGTGTGTATGTGAACATCTGTGTATGTGCGTGTGTGTGTGCACATCTGTGTCCATGTACATGTGCGTGTGTACATGTGTGTGTGCCTCCACATGTGTGCATCTGTATGTCCTCATGTGGGCACAGGGATATCCGTGTGTCTGTGTGTCCGTCCATGTTGGCATGGGGATGGATGTCAGTGCATGTGTGTGTGTGTGTGTGTGTGTGTGCAAATGCATGTCTGCCTCTGACTACATGTGCACCCATGTACATGAATGTGGCTGTGGGGCTGGGGATGTCCGTATGTCCATTTTGGCATGGGGATGGATTTCAGTGCACATCTGTGTGTGCACGTGTGTGCATATCTGCATGCCTTTGTGTTGGCACAGACATGCATGTGCATTTGTGTTGCACTGAGTGCTTTGTGTTGTGCATCTGCACATGGATCACTGTGTGCATCAGTGTACTGCATGCATGCATGTGTGCATAGCTGTGTGCCTTTTCATCAGCACATGCAGGTTCAAATTGCTTATGTGCATGAGTGCATGTGAATGTTTGTATGCATGCAAATGTGCAACGTGTGTGTGTGTGCATGTGTGTGCATTGACATACATGTGTTTCCCTGAGTCTGTGCACATGCTGTCTGCAGCCAGGAGGTGAGCTCAGCCATTCTCGTGGCTCCCTCCCAGCTCAGGACATTCTGTGTCCTGTTTGCACATGACTGTGTGTGCATGTGTGCACTGCTGAGCCTGTGATGTCAGCACACGCCTGTATGTGTGCACACATGTGTGTGCCCACACGTGGTTGTGTGTGTGCACCACTGCCTCTCCGTGGAGCTGTGCGTGTTTCTGTGGGGGTAAAACCAGCACTCCTGACTGCTGCAATGGGAGCTGAGCCGGGTCTGAGCAGCGAGGGGTTGCTGCTGTGCAGCGCTGGGCCAAGCAGAGCACAGCTTAGCCAGAGCCCAGCATGAGCCGGGCTGCACAAAAACCAGCAGAACCCATCAACGTGTGGGGAGAAATGGGGATGCTGCCCTATTGGTGGCAGCCAGGGCTTCAATAGGACACAGGCTGGAAATGACCGGGCAGGCAGCTGACTCCAAATTCTTTTTTCCCCTCTGAAGTCAAAACGGAGACCACTGGGATCCATGCTAATAAACCCTGGTGGCTTCATCCTGTGCTCGCTCTGTTCACTGATGCCAACACGAGATGTGACCCTACAGCAGCCAGGAGCCCCGCACCACCACAAACACGGGGACTGGAGGAGGGGCAAAGGGCCCCGCCAGGGCTGCCCACACACAGGGGTGTCCCTGCACAGTGCACTGTGGGCCCGAGGCTCTGGAACCAGGAACGGAGCCGCATCCCGTGCTGCCACGCATCTCCCATAGCAGCAGGACTGGGTCAGTGCCTGCTGGAACCGTGCTGGAAGGACGGATGGCCGGCGATGAGTGCTGGGAGGAGCCAGGCCCTGCCACAACCACGTCCTTCAGCTGCAACTCCTATTTTATCCTACGGCATCATCCATGAGCGCAGCGCTGCCCCCAGAGCTGGGCAGGCACCTCTCAGTGCTTCTCATCAGACAGAGACCCTCCTCATCCCACCAGGGATGGGCAGAGCCCCTGGCAGAGCTCTGTGCCACAGCTGCCAGCAGAGCATGGGAAGAATAGATGTAGATCATTGGATTTCTTATCATAGAATAATAGAATCACAGAATGGCCTGGGTTGCAAAGGAGCACGATGCTCATCCAGTTCCAACCCCTGCTGTGTGCAGGTCGCCAACCAGCAGCCCAGGCTGCCCAGAGCCACATCCAGCCTGGCCTGGAATGCCTGCAGGGATAGGGCATCCACAGCCTCCTTGGGCAACCTGTGCCAGTGCCTCACCACCCTCTGGGGGAAAAATATCCAATTAAAAGTTCCTCCACATTTATTAAAAAACCAAACAGTAGATTTAAAAAGCAGTTAAGAGTCCTACTCCAGCAAAACACCCTGTACAGCTTTCTCTCCTTTGTTGTTGTTTTTTTTCTCTAACGGTGAGGATTCTCCCTAAATCAGCTGCTTCTGTTAATTTTATATATATATAATCTTTGAATTCTGCCGCGCGGCGCTTGCTTTAACTCATTAATTTATTTCCCATCAGCCGAGCCGCCTCCAGCAGAGCAGCGGCGCTACCACAAAGCTTCCGAGTGCTGTCCATGCCCTGAGCCGGGGTGGGGGGAGGGAGAGACGGCGGAGGAGGGGCGGAGGGGCCGCGGCAGCCCTCACTCTCCCACGTGCGTCCTCAGGTGGTACTTGAGGGACTGCTTGTAGCGGAAGCACTTGGTGCACTCGGTGCAGGGGTACGGCCGCTCGCCGGTGTGCGCCCGCTGGTGCTCCAGGAGGTGGTGCTTCTGGGTGAAGTTCTTGCCGCACTCGGTGCAGTGGTACGGCCGCTCTCCCGTGTGGATGCGCTGGTGCTCCAGGAGGTGGTGCTTGCGGATGAAGCCCTTCCCGCAGACGGCGCAGGCGTGCGGGCGCTCGCGGGTGTGGATGCGGTAGTGGTTGGTGAGCTTGGACTTCTCGCTGAAGGTCTTCTCGCACTGGCTGCACTGGAAGGGCCGCTCGCCGGTGTGAGTCCGCTGGTGCCGCAGCAGGTGGGAGGGCCGCGTGAAGTTCTTCCCGCACTGCGGGCACAGGAAGGCCATCTCGTTCTTGCCGGCGTGGATCCGCTGGTGCATGATGAGGCTGATCTGCAGGCGGAAGCTGCGCCGGCACTCCCCGCAGGTGAAGGGCCGCTCCCCGACGTGGGTGATCTGATGTTTGCTGAGGCTGGACTTGTGGCTGAAGCTGCTCTCGCACTCGGAGCACTTGTAGGGCTTCCCCGGGGCCGGCGGCCGCGCCGGGGCTTTGAGGCCGTGCTCGGGACGTCGCGGGACCCCGACGCCGCGGCGCGTGTGGCTGCGCTGGTGCAGCAGGAACTGCTGCTTGTTGCGGAAGCTGAGGTCGCACTCGTGGCACTCGTAGGGGCCCTCCTTGAGGTGGTTGCGTTGGTGGATCACGAAGTTGATCTTCAGCATGAAGCTCTTCCCGCACTCGGGGCAGATGTAGGGCCGCTCCCTGGTGCGGTTGCGCTGCTGCTGGGCCGTGGCCGGCTTCATCTCGCCCGCATCCCTCTCGCAGGACGGCGTTTTGTGTGCACGGGCGGCCGCCAGGCTGCGGGGAGCCGCCTTGGAGCTGCACTGCGCCTCGCAGCCCAGCCCGGCCTCGTGGCTGGGGAACGCCGGAGGATCGCTGCGGCCCGAGAACATGGAGCACGGCTCGTCCACGTCGTCCTCCTCCTCCTCCTCCGTCTTGATCACGATGCCATCCTCTGCCAGGAGAAAGCAGAACAGCGTTACGGCCCTGCAGGTGGGACACGGCTGGGGTTCAGAGCACTGGGAGCTGCCAAAGGGACTCTGCAGCCCCCATCTGCCCTGCAACATGAGCAGCTCCTGCTGGCAGCAAGGCGGCAAGCAAGGGAGAACAGAGAAGCTGCCCCTCGGCCTCCGGCTCTGAGCGCTCGGCCCGGCACCATCCCCTCCTTTGGCTTCCCAGGGCCACCGTCCTTCCCAAAGGATGGGATGTGCAGGATGGCCGACGGCAGGGGGCCCCCACTGGTGTCACTGACACCGCTTTTGGTTTTCCCCAAAGCTTAGTTTGTTGGGTGACACATGGTGTGCCCTACATTGTCACCCTCAGTGGACCCTGAGTTCCAGGGGAGGCTCCACAGGAAGGACAGACAGGTTTCTCAATAGAAGTGGCCAGCACCAGGCTGTCTCAGAGGCACAGCACTCCCCCCCGACACATGCAGATGGAGAACAAGCATTCCCAAGGAGCTGCTCCCCCAGCAGCACTTAGGTTGGGTATTAGGAGGAAGTTTTTGAGCCAGAGGGTGGTGAGGCACTGTTACAGGCTGCCCAAGGAGGCTGTGGATGCCCCATCCCTGCAGGCATTCAAGGCCAGGCTGGATGTGGCTCTGGGCAGCCTGGGCTGCTGGTTGGCGACCTGCACACAGCAGGGGTTGGAGCTGGATGAGCGCTGTGCTCCTCTGCAACCCAGGCTGTTCTATGGTTCTGTGATCCTCCAGGGCTGCTGCTGTTCTCCTCCCTGCTGCCCACCTGCTGCTGGCCCTGAGCACAGAGCTTGGGGCTGAGATACAGAGCTCAGGAGGGCCTCAGCTCTGCTGCTCTCAGCAGCTCTCTCCATCTTAACACCACCAAAAGGCAGAGGGTCCACCTTCTCCACACTCCCAGTGCCCCCCAACATGGTGGCAGCAGCTGCCCACTGTGCCCGTCCCACACCCAGCTGAGCAGGGGAGGACTTTGTCCAGACATCCACTTCTCTCCACCCCCAACCTCACTGCACCCACCCTCCCCACAGCGCATGCATTGCAGTCTGGCTGCCCTCATTCCTGTCCTCCACACTGCCCCATGCGCCCACGTGTGCAGGGACACAAACCCACACTGCAAGTTTTGCCCCTCAGTGGGGCTCACACCCCAGGAGACCCCCTGAGTGCCTTTCCATCAGACTCTGGTTCCTTTCCATCTCTTCTCTCCAGAGTTTGCACACTCACTGCATGTGTATAAATGACTCTCTTAAACCCCATTCTCATTCCTGCAGCTCCACTGCCTTCCCCCACCCCAAGCCCTTGGCTTTGCTCCCTTTCCAGCCCCGTGGGTAAAGGCTGCTCACAAAGGCAGCCCCAGGGCTGCGCTGGGGACACTGCATCCCCACCACGGTGCAGCTCAGCAGCCCCCAGGCCACACTCACTGGTGCGTGTCTCCTCCCAGACCCCTGCACCCCTCACCTGTGCAGCTCCCGTGGTGCACGATGACCCTCTGGATCTCGCTGTAGTCCCCGACGTACTCAGAAGGGTCACCCAGGCTGGTGCCTGGCAGCTCTCGGGGAGGGGACACGGAGCCATAGGGGCTCTCGCAGGCAGCCTCCTCATCTGGGCTCTGGAAGCTGCCCTCCGATTGCCCTGACATGCCGTGCAGCTCTGGGTTCTCGGGGCTGTCCTCTGGAAGCAGCTCCTCTGTTTTGATCACGACTCTGATTCCAGCTGCAGCAAGGAGAGATGCACACCAGCAGTCATCCCCAGGGATCCCAGCAGCCCCTGGTTGCTTCCCACAGGGCCGTCCCCGCTGCTGTGCCCACCTGGGTGCACGGTGTGCCCCTGCCCCTCGCTCAGTCCCACCGTGAATGCTGCACGCAGAGCTCCTGAATCACCCCACTGGCTCTGAGCACTCTTTGTCCTCTGCCCAGCACCCTCAGCCAGCACAAACCCCAGGCTGGGGCATTTTCTCATTTAACATCAAGCTTTTTCCAGACCAAGATTGCGGGCAGAAGGTGAGAGTGACACAGCCCAACACCTCCCAGGCCCACCACCTCCCAGATGTCCCCCTCCCTGCAGGTCTGTCCTGCAATGGGCAGAGCAGGTTGTGGAAGGCTGTGGATCCCTCAGATGGCTGCAGTGGGAGCTGAGCTGCCTCTCCTTTCTCCCCACACGGCCCGAGGACGTGCTCTGACTGCAATGCTCCCCACACTGACGGCTCCCCGACTCCGGGCTCTGCCTGCCCTGCTTCATGTGCTGAGCCATACCTGGACGTCAAATCCCCCAGCAGCCAAACCTTTCCTCCTCCTGATCAACCCTGCCACAGCTCCCAGCAACAAAGCCCTGAGCGCGGCCCCGTCCTGCCTGTGGTGGGGTGGATGGGCTCCAGCCCCCCACGGCCGCCTCACCTGCGGTGGCATCGCTCATCATCTCGCTCTCCTCCAAGTCCTGCTCATTCCTGACCCGCGGTTCCTCTCCCTGCTCGATCTGGGACAAAACACCGGGTTTGGAAATTGCATAGTCTGTTGAGAGACAGAGGAATGGAGGGGGGTTACTAGAGAGGGACGCAGAAATGCCCCATTTCCCAGCTCTCCTCAAACCCAAAATGTTTTATCTCTGGTCCCAGAGCGGGCGCTTCTTACAGCTCCAACACACAAAGCCCCAGAAGATCACAGCTAACACTGCGTTGGCCTATTTGCTTTTCCCCCGTGGCAGCACCAGCAGCAGACCCAGAGGACGGGGGGAAGCCCCTGCAACAACTGCAGGGTGGGCAACAGCTCAGGGGGAGCCCAGGAGAGCTCTGTGGGACAGTGGCAGAACAAAGCGGGCATTTCGGAAGAGGTGACCCTACACAGCAGCAACAGAGCAGGACTGGAAACCTCCTCCTGTGTTTTTAAGTCTGCTTTTAAAATGGGACGTCTGGCTCCTTCTGGTAGGAGTGGGAGGATGCCCAGAACCTCCAGCACAGGTTGGGAAGCAGCGCCTGGATTTACCCAGCGAGATCAGCGACTCGTAGTTCCCCTTCATCACATTCTTGTACAGCTCCTTCTGCCACTCCTCCAGCTTCTCCCATTCCTTGTCGTTGAAATAGACGGACACGTCGTCAAACGTCACCGGCACCTGCAACCACAAACACCTGCTCAGACAAACGAGGTAAAACCAGGCACTGCAGCCAGACCTCATCCCCGCTGATGAGCTGACGTAAGGCCAGACTCAATTACCCCAAAACTCCGGGGAAAGCTCTCCCCGGGCCCCGAGGAATCATCCGTTATTGTCTGCAAATCGCCCAGCAGCGGACGGCAGTTTCTAAGGCTGTTTGCTGAGCTACAATTTCTGCAGATAAATTCAGGATGCAGTCGGAGCAGAGCTCTGGGAGAGGAGCACCATGCTGGCCCTGCCTCCCGATCGCCGCACACTCAGGTCGGGGTGCAAACACTCAATTTTCCAGTCCCAAAGGCAAACTTTCCCTTCGCGCAAAGAGGAGATGAATGAATATTCATGGCAGGCGCCTTTTGTTGTTCTGGAGCCCAGGCTGTGTGGGCAGGCACTGCCCTCCCGCAGGTCTCCATCGTGTGCTCCTTCCCTGGGTACCAGCATCACCAGCTGGGGATCCAGAACCAAACAGCGCCCAACACAGCTGGAAATCCAGCACCATACAGCACCAAACAGAGCTGGGGATCCAGCAGCACACAGTGTGAGAGCTGGGGATCCAGCACCATATGGTGCCAAACAGAGCTGCAGATCCAGCACCAAACAGTGGCAATGAGAGCGCTGCCAAATCTCCACGGTTCCTTGGTTCGGACTCCAAGTGTGCTGAGGAGTGAATGGCTGCAGCGCAGCCGTGTGAGCTGGAGACGAAACCTCCTCCCTCAATTCCATCTTAGTTCTAAGGATCTCCCATCAGAGGGTACCAAGAAGTTCAGGCAGTGCCTGCGCCCCCCCCGCTCCCAATGGGGAGCAGCTCTGCTCACAGCTGTCCTCCCCATCTCTGCCCCACCTCGAGGAGGACTCTGGGCGCAGCAGCTCCCTGCCCTCCCCACAGCCCGGGCCCCGTTACCTTGGGGACCTCTCCTTTCCTGCCGGGGGGCAGCCGCAGGATCCAGAAGTTCCTGTTCTTCAGCAGGTTCTCCATGTTCTCCAGGCGCCGCTGCAGCAGCCCGTACTCCTGGATGAGGGTGCCCAGGGCTGCACATTTGCTCTCCAGCTGGTTCCCCAGCTCCGTCGCCGTCTTCTCACAATCGATCAGCTTCTTCTCGGCCACCCCGGTGCGGCCCTCCAGGTCCAGCAGTCGGGTGGCATGGGAATCCACCTTCCTCTCCACCGCCTGCACGGCCGTCACCACAGTCAGGGACAGCTCTGCCGTCTGTGTCTCGCGCTCGGAGGTGCGCTCGGGGCCGGCACGCGGCTGGAAGGGTGAGGGGCAGCGCGGCCGCATCCCCAGCTCTGGAACCTGCAGGGAGGGGGTGTGGGTGTCAGCAGGATGCCTGCAACCTTGGGAACATACCTGGACGTACCCCACAGGTTGGGAACTGAGAGAGTCTGAGGAACCCCTGGGCTGCAGGGCACCCAAAGGTTGGGGACCCTCAGGGTGGGTCTCAATAGGATGGGAACACCGAGGGTTGGGGAATCCCATGGGGTGAGGGCAGCCATCGGCTGGGAGCCCCAAAAGGCTGGGGATCCCCTGGGCTGGAGACCGCCAGAGGTTGGGGGCACTCAAAGGATGGAGATATCGGCAGGTTGGGGACCTCCACGGCCCGGGGCCGACCACCCTTACTGCAGAAGGGCCGTCCCCACACATTGCTCGCGTCGAGCTGCCCGCAGTCCCGCGGGACGGGCAGGGGGACGGAGGTGACGGTGGGGCGAAGAGGAAAGGGACGGCCGAGCCCCGTCGCCATGGGGACAAAGAGGTGACACCCAGGGATGAAGGCCGGGGGGGGGTCTGCCGCTGTCAGCCGGCCGTGTCGCCATGGGGACGGGGAGGTGACACGGGGGGCAGACGGCCGAGAGACCACGGGGAGG